CGATTCAAAGTGGACCGCCGAAAACCTTACGAACGATAAAGATATTACACTTTAACCACTTCCACTCTCGCGCAATCTAAAAAGAAAAGAAAAAGAGACTACAAGCAAGAAAAAAGAAAAAGAAGAGATTCGAAAGTTACGCGAAGAATTTGCGAAAGAGAAGAAAAATATAAAGCAAAATATAAAAGTGATAGCAAAGCAAATAGCGGAATTACGGACTTACGCTATATAATCTAACGAAAAGCTACGACGAAGCGCTTTAGCGTACTCGACGCTTTCAATTCATCAATCGCTACGCAATACGCCAATCATTTAAAAAGAGCTAAAATCACTTCAGCGGCCTTTAAACCTTTTTCTTAAGAGCTACACTTAGTTTTCTGAAAAGCCTGAGCCTAGTAGCAATAACAATAAAAGTCTTAAGATCATCATCGGACTAGACAACACTCGAGGCTACGAGAGCTATACGTTAAAAAAGAACCCGCCAAAACTTAAAAGCATGCCGGACAAAATCAACTCTTATTAAGGACAGCGTACAGATTTCCGTACTTAACCTTAGCAACCCGAAAAGAGGATCTAGCACTTTCGAACGTACCGGCAAGCTACTTATATCTCTTAAGAGGCTACGTATTAATAAAAGAGAGACTAAAAGTATAAGAATCGCTAAAAGCAAGCTTAAAGATACGGATATTACTAAGCTAAAGCCTCAGCCGGTGACTCGAATAGCTTTAAAGATCTTAACGATAGCCGACGAAAAAGGAACGGAAGAGATTAGCAAAAAGATCGAGGCTACGGGTACGGAAAAGGTAAGAACGGCTTTCTCGAGCTATCAAAAGGATTCAGTAACGGACTTTCAAAAGACCCCGGATCCGGAAATAAGCTTCTTAAAGACTTTAGAAAGGTAAGACCTACAACCGGCAACTATATTAGTAACCTTTTACCGATCCGACCACTAGCTAAGCACGGCACGCTTGCGTACGGCACTTTAAGCGCTCTTAACGATGATAAAGACGATTTCTTTAAGCTAAGAGCAACAGACCTTTACTTAAAAGCGAAGGAATTAGCTTTGTTCGCGCGAAGCTTTTCTAAAGAGCTAAAGTACTTAAGACTCGACGATAACTTCAAGACTTAATTAAAGATTTTTATTGATTAAGCAAGTCGATACGGTTTAACCTCCGACGATTATTTAACGGCGTTCTTAATTATGCTTACGAAAGAGGCTATAACTTTTTATTACAATTATGTGATCAAGGCTAAGCTTCTTACGTTTAAAGCAAACGCTATTACGATAAAAGACCACTTCGAGACTGACTACCGGCGGCAAGCAAAATACGATCGATAAAAAGAAATTTCGTTAGATTTGGTTAAGAAAGAAAATCCAAGGACTTCGCTTAACGAATGCTTTAAAAAGCTCGCTAAAAAGCTTAAAGGCATTCAAAGCTCTTTACGACTAAGTTTAAAGGATGATCGAAGTCTTGCTAACAAGCTGTATTCAGCTTATAAAAACGTGTCAAAAACTACGATTGCACGAATAAATCTTGCTTTTACTTTTACCGCGGCAATTGCTAACATTCGTCGAGCAATTGCCTTTGCAACTAAGACCTCTCGACCTCCCGCCAAAGCTAGAGCTTACGCGAGCTCTAGCGAGCTACACGATCACACCTGCTTTTATAACACCTTAAAGGCTGACTCCGATTTAAACGAAGAATACGATGTGACGACACGCCAGGTCTCCTGGACCCACCTCATATGCGCCAAGCTACTTCCTTCCTTTTTTCCTTCGTATTCTTCGTATTCTCTTATTCCTCGCTTTTTGACCCATGAACCATGGTTTACGAGTCCTTAGCGCTTTTACCTTCGTATATATAGACCTTAGCTACCTTCGACCTTTACACTCGGTAGTTGTTGATTCTAAGTCATTACTTTAAGATTCTTTTAAGCTCTTATATGAACCTTCGCGCTCTCGTAAGTTCTTTTAAGTAATCGCTTAAGGTCGTCACATTATCAACAACTACTTTACTTTGCCGGGAACGGCTTTAATAATATTCCTCCTTTTTAGAATTCTTTAGTAGTTAAACGTTAAAAAACATTCAAACGATACTAACGGTTACGAAAAGGCTTATTTTAAGTATAACTTAAAAGATAGCACTTATACAACATAGCAACCTTCGCCTCGCGGGCAAAATCTTTCGCACACTTTTTAAAGCTGCTTTAGCAGCTCCCTCTTCTTCTTTTACGGCCCAACTAGTAGTTCCTTCTACTTAAGAAGAAGCTATTAATGAGCAAGACGATGAAGATAATCTTTCGGCTTTTACTAACTTTAAAAAAGCTTTGGCTTAATACCAAGCTCTCTTTTAGTCTTAACGAAAAGCTGCTAAGCTTAAAAAGCTCTTCGCAAACATGAAAACCTGCAACGAAGAGCTCGATAAGAACGCTAGCGAGCAAAAAACTCTCGCCGAAAGGGCTGAAAAAGAAGCTCGTCGAGCTCGAAAGGAACTAGACCAGCTCTAAGCGATCTTGTTAACTACGGAACGCTTGTTAAAGCCTTCTTAAGTCTCTTTCGAAGATAATTCTAAAAGCAAGGAGCTATATAAGCCTTCGGTCCCTTAGACTACTCTCTTTACTTATAAAACCGCTAACCTTCGCCGCCTTTTCGCCGACGACGATGAACCACTTTTTTTTTATAAGCTAACCAACCTTCGCACTCTAGCTAGGTTCAACACTTTTAAAGCCTCTTTTTTAGCTTCTTAAAGTCGCGCTCGTATCGAGCGGATCTTTAACTTTAAACAAAAGCTTTCAGACGGTGTAAGCTACCGAGCACGCTATTAGCAAGCTTGCGTTTTCGACAACTTAAAAGCTTTCGAAAAATACTTCTTTATAAAACGCTAACGCAAGAACTACGTCTTTAACTAAACCGAAAGAACAGCTTACTTGTTCTTAGCCCTTTTAATCATAGATCGTAGCAACCTCGTAACTGCTTCGGAACTCGTCTAGATCGCCTTCGAGTTCTTAAACGACCTCGCTAAGAAAGCTAAAGCGTTAATTGAGTTCGAAAAACTTTATATAAAGCTTAACTAGCAATTTTAAGACTTCTACCTTGTTTTCTCGGAGCTTGCTGCTACCGCCGAAATCAAGAACGAAGACCGATTACGTAAGGCTTTGCGTTCTAAGATTATTAAAACGCTGCGCGACCAGCTCCATTTGGAATTTGCTAAGATTATAACTTTCAAGGACTTTCAGACTGCCGTTTAACAATTGGCTGCTGGCTAATACGCGTCTGCAAAGCTTTACGACGCTTTATAAGCTAAGTATAATACTTAATTCGCGAAGAGCTTTTATAATAAAGCTCGTATCGAATCCCGCTCGGCTTAAAGAACAGCGGTCAAACAAGTCACTTATTACGAAAACCGCTAAGGTAGCTCAACCCTCGTCTCTTTTCTTACTTTTTAGCGCTAAACCTTCAACAGCTCTAGCGCTAGTGCAGATCGATCTAATCGATTTAACAAATTCTCTTCTTTCGGAAACGCTTTTAAGTTAGCGATTAAAACTTTTAAATCGTCTCGCAAGGACCCGAATACGCCGAAGCTCTTCCGCTATCATTTAATCAACGAGATAAAACACGGCGCTAGACTTGAATACGGCTTTTATTCGAATAACTCGGACGATAAGCTTTACTTCGATGCTCTTAAAGATCATTAAGAGCTCTTTCTTGCTGACTCCGACGCTCTTAATAAAGGAAACGTCGAGGCTTAAGCAAAGCTTTTTTTTTAAGCCAGCTTTAAGATATGCGATACTTCGACTTTACGAAGCTTTTTAATAGTAAAGCTATGATTATACTCGTCACTTTCATCAAGAATAGCCTTTCGTACAAGGTATCTGCTTTGCTCGACTTAAGAGCTAATAAGTACGCGCTGATTAACTTAACGCTATTCAAATCACTTTCTTTTTTTCTTAAACCTTTGATTCAATCTCTCTCGGCCTTATTTTTTATTAAATCATATAATAGAGCTCGTAGAGCTACTATCTCACATTTTGCACTTCTTAACCTTACGGTCGATAAGCGCGTTTAATCCTTTATTCTTTTTCTTATTATTAATCTTGAAAATCACAGCGTGATCTTCGGACGAACATAACTAACTAAGCACTAGATTTTCTTTAATTGCGCCCGCCGCAAGCTTTATTAGCTTCGCTTTAACCTTCCGACCGCTACTTACGTTAAACCTATTAAGATTATACACTTTAATCAGCGTAAAGTAAACGCTCGTTATTAGCACGACGCTAATAAACGTAATCGAGCTTTAGACCGCTTTTAAAGAGCTTACGACGCTAATTCACTCGTGAATTATAGTTCACGAGCGGATTAAGCAGCAATAATAGTCGCTGAATCACTTCCTTTTCTTTAGAATCGTCTTTCTTCCGCTTCTTTTTTTAAAATTGTTGAACCCTTTTCTTTTATTTACTTTCTTTTAAAGCCGTCACTCTTTCGCTTTACGAAAACCACCTTTTTTAAAGACTACGCTAAATCAATGTCTTAGATGAACCGTAAGCTTGTGTTAACCGATATCGCTTCCGTAGAACCTCTTTTACTCGTCAAACGCTTTCGCTAAACATCTAAGCATAAAATCAATAGAAACCTTAAAATCAACGGCGTCTTCGGATACGCTTTTTATATAATTGCTCGACAAAAAGACGTAGAACTGTTCTTTACGTCCTTTTACGAGCTCGATTGCTTGATCTTCGAACGTTAGACGATTGCTTTTACTTAAGCTGACTATTAAGCAACGCTAACACGCTTTATTAACGGCTTTATCTTTGCTATCGACCTTGCAGCAGAACTGTTAAAGCTTATTAACGACCTTCTTATTTTTCTCGAATACTCCGATTATATATACGTGTTTTTTAAAGCCGTTAGCAACGTGTTAGCATTATATAAGCCTTACGATCACAAAATCGAGCTTCTCGAAAGGAAAGAAAAGGCGCTTCGGTACTTATTATTATACAAGATGTCGATCCTTAAGCTAGAGCTTATTAAAGCTTATTTTATCGACAATCTTAACAAAGGTTTTATCGAACCTTTAATAGCGCTATTTGCAGCTTTAGTCTTGTTTGCTAAAAAGCAAAACGGTTCTTTTCGCTTTTATATTGACTTCCGCGCGCTAAACAACCTTACTCGTAAAGATCGATACCCCCTCCTTTTAATCGATAAAACCTTCGTACGTCTTTTAAGAGCTAAAATCTTTACGAAATTCGATATTCGGCAAGCCTTTTATAAAATACGAATGGACTTAGCTTTAGAAAAGCTTATAACATTCAGAACACGCTACGGTGCTTATAAATGCAAGGTCCTTTTATTCGGACTAACTAATAGACCCGCCACTTATTAACGCTATATGAATGACTTCTTTTTCGACTTTTTAAACATCTTTTGCACGGCATATTTAAACGATATCTTGATCTACTCTTTCGACCTTTTAAAGCACGCTTACTACGTCCGTTAAGTTCTTTAACGACTCGACGACGCTAGCTTTTAAGCTAACATTAAAAAATGCGAATTCAGCATTATTAAGATAAAATACTTAAGCTTTATTATTTCTACCGAAGGCTTAAAAGTAGATCCGGATAAAACGTCGATAGTAGAGTATTAAGCGCTTTTTACAACCGTTAAAAGCGTCTAAAGCTTCTTTAGATTTTATAACTTCTACCGCCGTTTCATTCGAGACTACGGCGTAATCGCGAAGCCTTTAATGCACTTGATTAAAGTTAACGTTTCTTTTTCATTTAATTCTTAGTGTTAAAGAAGCTTCGACCTTTTAAAGCTCGCTTTGATTACTTCGCTAATCTTATAGTATTACAACCAAGACTTCTTTTGTATGCTAGAGACTAACGCTTTAAACGGCGTAGTCGCTTTAATCTTTTTTTAAAAGCATAGTTCCGACTGGCTACTAGTCGCTTATTACTTTAAAACTATGGCTTTCGCTAAGCTTAATTACGTCGTTTACGACAAAGAGATGCTAGCTATTATACGTTCTTTTAATAACTTCCGCGCCGAACTCGCCGGCTCTTCTTACTAGGTTTAAGTAATCACCGACTATAAGGCTTTAAAGTACTTCATGACTTTTAAGACTCTTAACGCCCGTTAAGCACGCTAAGCAGAGCTCTTTTCCGATTACAACTTTATTATTACGTATAGACCAAGTAAAGATAACCCGCTAGCTAACGCGCTGATACGTCGCACCGAAGAGCTTTCTTTTTAGAACAGCTTTAAGCGCACTCAACGCTTGCAAACGCTGCTCCGCGCCGATAACGTTGACTTACGACTTTTAACTGAAGAGCTACGCTAACTTACGCTTTCGGAGACCGCCGTTACTATTGAAAAGATCGCGGACCTCTTATCGATATTCCGAGTTATTGACCAAGTCTTAAAAGCTAATCGGACCGCTTTTAGCTTCATAGCACTTCGAGTTTAAGCTTTTAAAGCTGAGTCTTTATTCGTGAACCACGGTTTACGGGCTAAACTTATTATAAAAGGCGACTTGCTGCTTTATAACGGCCGCTTATTAATTCTCGACGTTTAAAACTTGCGTTCGTTATTCGTTCGAAAAGTCTACGATTAAGTATTTACGGCACACTTTAACTTTCGCAAAACTTATAAGCTTTTTGCAACATAGTATTACTAGCACGGTATAGCTAGATTCGTCAATTAATACTGCCGCAACTGCTACGCTTGCAAACGAGCTTTAATGCTTCGCGATAAAAAACTTAGTTTGCTTTAATTTCTCCCGATCTTTTCGCGCTTTTAAAAGCACGTTATTATAGATTTTTGTAGCTTTAATAAAGATAAGCACGGCTACGACAACGTCTTTATAATAATCGACCGCTTCTTTAAGTAAGCAATCTCGATCTTTTATTATAAGTCTATCGACGCTAAAGGCTTCGCTAAGCTTTATATCTATTATATCTATAAGTATTTTAGAGCTCTTTTGACACTGACTTCTGATAAAGGACCTTAATACTAGTCCGAATTCTAGAAAAAATTTAACAAGATCTTCGGCATTAAACTAACTCTTAATACCGCCGCACACTTCGAGATTGACGGTCAGACCGAAATCTATAATTAGTACTTGCAAAAGCGCTTCCGTCTTTTCGTAAGCTATTATTAAGACGATTAAAATGAGTTCCTTCTTATAATAGACTTCGCTTAATTGACGCTCTTTTACGACTCTTTCGGCGGTCTTTCCCTTTTTAAGGTAATCTACGGCTATGCTTTTCGGACCACTTAGAATTGAAGCTTAAAACGACTTGACGACCAAACCTCTTCTCGCAAGCTTAACTAAGACGAAGCTCGCGCTTACGCTAATCGCCACTTCGGAGCTTAGAACTTCGTTAAAGAGCACCTTTAGCGCGCTTAAGACCGTATGGCTAAACAAGCTAATAAATCAAGACGCTCGGTTGACTTCGACGTTAATAATAAAGTTTAGTTGGATATGCGCTCGTTCTTTACCTCTCGACCGTTAAAGAAGCTCGATAACCCGACGAACGGACCGTTCGAGGTTACCGACAACGTTTATAGCAGTTTCAAACTTAAGCTCTTCGAGTTAATGAAGGTTCACTTAGTCTTTTACTTCGGACGACTACGAAAAGCTCTTAATAACCTTACTTTCGAGCAAATCATTCTTGAACTTAACTCGATTAATATTATTAGCGAACTTAAGTACAAAGTAGAAAACATCTTAGCGGTACGCTAAATTAAAAAGCACTTTAAATACCGCGCTTCTTAGCTCGACCGCGATATTAACCTTACTTAGTACCCCGCTTCCGACTTTATGTACGCTCTTTTTAAAGTACGTGACTTCTACTTAGAACATAAAGAGCTCTCTGGCCCTTTCGCGAAGCTTTTCGAGTGGATCAAGGCTTATTCGGACGGTATTGATGACTACGATCACTTGAGCAGTGATAAAGCAATAGATAGACGCTCGAAGACGAGTTTTTTTCGGACGGGAAAGTAGTATAACGACACGCTAAGTCTTTTGGACCCACTTTACATGCGCTAAGCTACTTCCTTTTTTTTTCTTTCGTATTCTTCGTATTCTCTTATTCCTCGCTTTTTGACTTATGAACCATGGTTCACGAGTCCTTAGCGCTTTTACTTTCGTGTATATAGACCTCAGCTACTTTCGACCTTTACACTCGGTAGTTGTTGATTCTAAGTCATTACTTTGAGATTCTCTTGAGCTCTTATGTGAACCTCCGCGCTCCCGTGAGTTCCTTCAGGTAATCGCTTAAGGTCGTCACATACGAATGCTTTATTCAAAACCGCTAATACTTCGGAAGTAAAAAAGCTGCTAAAGCTATTATTAAAGGTGAGAAAAGGTGTTTTGTTTGCAAAAAGCTAAGTTGCTAAAGCACTAACTATACCTCCGACGAAAGAAAAGCATCCGTCGCTAAGTTCCAAGCTTTTAAAAACGCAAAAAAAGTGACGAAAAGCAAATTCTCTTAATACGTAGTATCGATTAAAAGCTTGCTACTTGTATCTACGAAAGAATTCGATCAGTTTATCGCAAGCTTATTAAACGAGCCGTCCGAATCAAGCAGCCGCGCTAACATATCGAAAGGTTTTATGATTACTTATAGCACTTTTAACGCTAACGAAGTATACAAACAGCTAGAAATTCAAACGGCATTCTACGCCCTTACTAGCAAAATCGAGACCTAAAACGTGCCCGCGAGCAAAGCAAAGACTTACATAGCTTCTAAGTATTTTAAAAACGTATTTATAAGCCTTATAATTAACAGCAGAGCAGCTAATTTCTCTACCGCTAGCTTGCCTTAGCTACGAGCACTTTAAAAAAGGTACTTCGAAGTCTAATTAAATACATCTCGAGCAAAAAAGAAGTCCGTTAAATACGGCATCAGCTTTGCTACTTCTATTAAAGCAGTTACCTTAGATACCTTTCTAAGTCAAATAAAGTTTTACGTTATAAAAAGCGACGTACCCTTCTTACTTTTATTAGCTGATATAAACAAGCACAAAGTGATTTTAAATAACTTGCGAAACGTGCTAGTCTAAAAGAAAAAAGAAATACTAATAATAAAGATGTTTAAGCACGTATAAATACTATTAAGTAAAAAGCACGCTACTACTTATTATAATACCGAAAGCGAGACCGTTTATTACTACTTTACGAAAGAACAATTAAAGACTATCTACAAGCGTTTTGGCCACCTTTTAATAAGTCGATTTGTTGCTATTCTTAAGAGGGCCGGGCACGAATTTAAGCGAGATTTGCTTTACAACATCTAAAAGTTTTGCTACTATTGCTAAGTATTCGGACGCTTTTTAAAGAGGTTTAGTATCAAACTTAAAGACGATACTAATTTCAATAATACGGTATACGTAGACGTAATGCATTTTAACGGCAAAAACGTATTATACGTCGTTTGCGATTCTATTAATTTTCAAGCCGTCACTTTCTTTAAAAGCATGTCCGCATAGCACTTACTTAAAAGATTTAATCGATATTAAGTCAATACTTACGTCGGACCTTTTATAAACGTAATACACGATCTCGGAACCAACTTCAATTCGGCAACGTTCCGAAGCTACTTCAAAAGTATTAGCAGCACCTTAAGGCAAATGCTTATAAAAGCTTATTATAGCGTCGGGCTAATAAAACGCTACTACGTCCTTATGCGACGCGCTTTTAAGATCGTCATAAAAGAGCTTTTAAAAGCCTTAAAGGAGGACCGGCTTTAAATAGCTATTAAAGCTATTAACGACACAGCTGGACTTAATAGCTTAGTTCTTACACTCTTCGTTTTTAAGACCTTATCGAAGCTGACGGAGCAAGATCGACTTACCGCGTCTACTTAAAAGCGTGCTGCTGCTATTAATAAAGCTATAAAAGAAGTACGAAAATGCTACGCTGCGAAGCAGGTTAAGGACGCGCTTAAGAAGAAGAATGACCTAATTACGGAGCATACTTTAGACCTCTTTATTAGCTTACGAATGCTCGTGTAACGAGAAAACTAAAAGTAAAAGGGCTCCTTTTAGCTATTTAACAAGCAAAAGCACACGTGCACAATAGCTTGTCCGAAGCTTACGGAATTCAAGTTAACTTTAATAAAACCTTACTACTTTGAAGTTGAAAAGCTGCTAAAAGAGTTGCAAGTACTTAAAGTAGAAGTAAAAGAAAAAGTGAAAAAAAAAGTGGAAGATGATTAGAGCGAAAGCGAAAAAGAGCTAAAAATACGAAATTCGCTTAAACCTTAACATTCGCTTAATCTACCGAAGTCGCTTAATCCAAGAAGCTCGCTAAGACTAACAAACAGCCCTTTTAACCCTCAACTTGCTAATCCTCAGAAGTCAATAATACTAATAGTCCAAATACTTTATTAAAAGTACGATCTTAATATCTCGACCGTGCTCGACGAAAAAGAAAGCGATTCTTACGTTCTATTTACTAAAGACTCCGAAGTGTTGATTACCGATAAAGAACGCCGAGACTATAAGCTTTTAATTAAGCTACGAATCGAAAAAATCATTAAAAGCCTTAAGGCATTATTTCAAGAGTTTAAAGCAAAAGAATTAGTTAGATTAATAGCTTAAAGCATCCTCTAAGTGATCCCGAGCACCGACTTACGCGCTAAAAGCGCTAAGATCTTCGGATCTAAGTTTATTAATAAGATTAAAAGCAAAGGAACACTTACGCTATACGAAAAGTCTCGTATAATAGTCTAAGCTTTTTAAAACAAAAGCAAAACGAAAGTACTTACCGAGTCACTTACGATGCAGCGAACGGGCTAAAGACTTTATTATGCTTTAGCTTTTTTTTTAATAAAAGACTACGAGTGTTAAGTCTATAACAAAGATATCACTTAAGCTTATATTCAATTAAGCACGAAGCTTATCCGAATAATCGTCGTACGACTACTTAAAAAGATCACTTATCGATTCCCCTTCGGCACTTTGTTCTTTATAACTAGCTTTTTATATAAGATCTTCGAAGCAAAAACGTATTAGTATAAGCGTTTTTCAAAGCATTTCACGGACAACCTCGAGATAAAGCAATCG